CCACCCTCCCAGTATCACCACTCTCACCACTGGTACTGAGGAGTTTATCTGTCCTTTGTTGCTTCTGGCTAGATGGCCAATTGTTTATCTTCAAGCCTTTAAGACCGCAAACACTATATCTTTGATAGCCAGGCACCATCAGTGTTCTTCACATTTGCTTATTCACCCACTTTGTCTTCAGTGATCATGTCAGGAAGGTGAGCATCATGGAATGCCACTTTAATAGAACAAATGTTCTTCCATTGAGGGAGCACTTGAGTAGAGGCTCACTGTCCATCTGCTACCTTAATATTAAACATATAAATATATGCACATAGATCTGTTTCCCCATCATCATATATAAATATATTTATAGATACATGCCTGTATTTAGAGATCTTTAAATGCCCTTTGCTTGGACAAGGATTTCTTCTACATTGACTAACACTTGTTCTTCTAGTTTGATGTCTTTCCTCCTTCTATATTGAGATACTAATCAGAATTTCCCTCTGATCAATTCTGTCCCCTCAGCAGGTTCACCTGTCTCTCCCCACCCGAGGAACCCATGATTTCAAGCAGCCGTCAGCATCTTCCTCTTATTGTACTGCCATCTATGCTGGGTGTCAGGGCTTAGACTGAGGTCTTCTAAAATTCTCTATATCAAAATTACTTCCAGCTAATGATCTTGGATCTTTCAACCATTGATAATCATGTTCAGATATGGAAGAAATTTAAATATTTCTTCTAATTCATATTCTCATCCACAACACACGAGTAGTCCATGATGGTCAGGGTCTCAGCAAGTTTACACTCTCCCCCACTTCCTACCAGTATTCACTCTGCATTCAGAACACTCACCTCTATGTCAGGAAAGGTAAGGGTTGTCTCACCTGGCCTCAGTCAGAGAACAAGTGACATTAAAGATCAAGGAGAGAGAATAGGGTCCTATTTCCAAAGCCAGTCACTGCCTGGCTATACCCTCAGTCTTTTCTCTCTTATTCCTTGGATTCAAGTCTATGGGGTCATGATCTCTCCTCAGTCACCATCAAATAGTGAGAAGAATTTGCCCATCTTCTGATTTCGTGGCCTGACCACTGTATTAACCACAGGGCTTATTCCTAGTCTCATTGAGTGTAATTTCTACTCGTGCCCCATATCTGTAATTTAAATACAATGAGAGATGCCATCATTACTCAGACCTACGCTATCTTTGAACAACAAATTATGTTTCAGAAAAACAAAACTGGCTGAGCAATGTAGAATCAGTCAGTTGGATTAATGTAGAATCAGTCAGTTGGATCAATGTAGAATCTGACAGTTGGATCAATGTAGAATCTGTCAGTTGGATCAATGTAGAATCTGTCAGTTGGAGGGACCACAGCAAGCACAAGGTCCAGATACTGATACTGAGGTTAATCCAGAGCCCAGTCAGAGAGGAGCCCTGGAAAGGCCAGGGATGATCTCTGGTCTATAGTCCCAAAACTTTCCATGAGGAAATTGGGCTACTCCGTTAACATTTGAGAAAATCAGAGCTTTTTATTCTCAGTCCTAAAATAAGGCAAGTAAGTCTTACATTCTGAGCACGCCCATTGCCAAGTAATTTTCTTGGAATGCAAAGATCTGTTTTACGTGTTAAAGTCTGTAGGTTGGCTGAGAGGTGCACACTGCCAGCCCTGATTGGAAGCTGCCTTTGCAGGAATCAAAGATGCCAAATGAGGTCAATATTTTCTCTGAGAGGGAAGTTACCTAAGCCCTCCATCAAGAGTAGCAGCTCCAACCCAGTGGGGGACAAGGACTCTGTAACCTTATTGTGTGAACCTGAGACTCAGAACACAACCTCCCAGTGGTTGATAAACAGTCAGAGCCTCCCGGACAATTCCAGGCTGGAGCTGTCCATGGACAACAGGACTCTCACTATACACACTGTCACAAGGAATGAATCAGGACTGTATAATTGTAGAACCAGGAACCCAGTGAGTTCCAGCCATAGTGACTCGTTCTCCCTGAAGGTTCTCTGTGCCTAACTTCTGTTCACACATGGCACAGGCTTCAGTGCAATTGCACCCTGTCAGAGACCTGGCAACATCAATCGTCTCAGGTCCAAGTACACGGACCATCAGCCCTGGGACACAGAGGAGGGGCATGGCATCTTTTCTCTGGAAAATCTGGGCAACCCCAGTCATTCAGGCAGAGCAGAAGGGGTGGGGTTGCTCCTGGTCAATGACTTTGTCAGGGTCAAAGCTTGAGCTGGAGAAACAGGTCAGTAGTCTCAGAATCAGGCTCAGAGAAGAAAGGGGGCTTATTCTGTGGGACTTTTTAAAAACAAGATTCAGAGAGAAGCTGTGGCCCTTCCCTCTGGTCACATCACAGCATGGCATTGTTCTGTTTGTTCCAGATGGCCCAGACACTCCCACCATCTCCCCCTCAGCTGAGCATTCCTCTCTAGGGAACAACATCAACCTCACCTGTCAAGCAGTTTCTAACTCATGTGCACAGTATTCTTGGTTTATCAATGAAACCTCCAGGCAATCCACAGAGCAGCTCTTTATCCCCGACAGCACTGTGGGTGACAGTGGGAACTATATCTGCCGTGTCCATAACCCTGCCACTGCCCTCAGTAGAACCACAGCCAAGACTATCACAGTGTCTGTCAAGTGGCTCCCTGGAATGGCATCCCCGAGCAATGGGGTGGAAGCCAGTCTTGTTCTCTGAACAAGAAAACAAATCCAACAACCTGAAAATAATTATTCTTGTTCCATGTGTCCTGGGCAAAAAGGAATCCCAATCTCTGTCCCTCAACGATCTCACTACATCCCTGCAGACTGCTGGCTCCTCTTGCTCTTTCTAGGAAAGACTTTGGGTCCATCCTGCAATATAGAGGGGAGCTCTTTCTCAGTCCCCAGAATAGGCGGGGGATGGTGTGGACAGATTGACTGGTTCATAGTTGGGTGGGGGGAGCAGAAATGTCTTCAAGATCAAGTAATCTATCGCTAACTTGTCACTTTTAGGCATGTCACTGACTCTATATACAACAAGGCTTTGAACGGGCTCACATGTGTTCTCCTGTAAGAGGAAGGTCAAACTCCAGTGGGGTGATGGGCAAGCTGGAGCTCTGCTCCTTCTCTGTTCCTTGTCCCTCACACATCAACCCGGTTCTGACACCATCTGTGTTCTGCTCAGGGAGGGTGGGGCAAGTGTGCAGGCTGACATGTACACAGTCCATCAACGCCTCAACCATGCCAGGTCAGGCTGCAGGAAAGGGGATCATGCATCTGAAGCTGCATCCTGACTGTAAGGTCACCAATGATAAACAGTGTGATGTTGACATGGAGCATTCTCAAAGGATCATAATGTGCTACAAAGCATCTTGGGAAAACTAGGTTGGTTCACCACCAAGTTCTTAAAGGGAGGGAAGGGGCAAGGCCAAATTATGCTGTGTAAAACCTGTGAAAGCAGGAACCTCTCAGAGAAGGAAGACTCATATGTTTTCCACTCATAGAAAGTGATACCAAAATGAGAGCTACTACACTCTCCATGGTGGGAAACTTTCCAGACTCAGAAACATGAGGCAGTCCCCCCGACGTACAGTTCTCACCGAACCAAACTCACTGCCCTCTAGTCAATGCTGACTCTGAGTGACCCCTGTGACTTTCTGAGACCGTTTACAAGGATAGAAAGCCCAGACTTCCCCCCATGGAGTTGTTGGTGGTTTTGAACTGCCAACCATGCGGGTCGCAGCCCAACACTTAAACACTATGTCACCAGGGCTCCTAAGTTTGCCTCATTTAGAGAAAGGGCTGAGAGTCCAAGTCTTGTTAAAAGTATAACAATGGACTGTATTGGGTGACTCTGCTGCACTAGACCTCCGTAAGATGTTGAAAAGCAAGGAAGTGCCCTTGAAGACTAAGGTATGCCTGACCCAGGTGGGTTTGATGCTGTGTAAATAGGGTCGCTTTGAGTCAGCACCAACTCAATGTCGCCCAACAATGACACCTACATACTAAAAACTCAGGTTTCCTTCACTTGATACTCAATCCATAGACTGGAAGAAAAACCTTTCTAAGATCATGAAATCCTTTTTATTGGAAAGTCTCTAGATCCTAAAACAGTGAAGATTTCAAGGCTGTGCTAATCCCTAACATCTCAACTCTCTAACATGGACTTGATGTTGACACATAGCAACCCTGTAGAGCAGGTAGAACTGCCCCTGTGAGATTCCTAGACTGTAATTCTTTATAGGCCTATAAACCCCTGCATTTATCCTGAGGAGCAGATGGTGGTTTCAAACTGCTGACCTGCAGATAACAACAGGAGTGACCACTATAGCACCAGTGTCCCTTATCTCTAACATACTGTTGAACAAAACATCTTCCCATCTTGATGTTAAAGCTGCCCTGCCCCTGAGCTAGAGGTGGCAAATAGCCGGCCTTACCCACAGGCACAGCACCCTCTCCTAAACAGGAAGGCCTTGGAAAGGCTCACAACAGCCTCTGTCAGAGAAAAATTCCACCCAGTGACAATGGGGTGGCAGGTGCAGGTGGGCTGGGAAGAGGCTCTGTGCTGATCCTCCAAAGCACCTGGGCTGCACCTACTTCCCAGTGAGGGGAGGGGCTGCCTGCTCTCACCAACCCAAATGGACAGACACACCACCTCTGGGGAAGGTTAGGAGAAAGCTCTGGGACACATTCAGAGTTCACCCTGGGCCTGTAAGCTGGCTGAGAGCTCCTAGAAACATGATGATCCCCAGCCATAGGCCCCCTCTCAGTCACCTCCTCTCTTTTTCCACAGAGTGCTTGACCAAGCCCTCCATCCGGGCCAGCAACACCACAGGCATAAAAACTACAGGCGCAGTGGTCTTCACCTGTCTCACCAAACACAACGGAATCTCCATCTCCTGGTTCCACGATGGTGAAAGACTGCAGCTCACGGAGAGGATGGAGCTGTCCCAGGACAACAGCTCCCTCACCATAAACCCTGTCAGGGTGGAGGATGCTGGGAACTATCAATGTGAGGTCTCCAATCCAGGCAGTGCCAACAGAAGTGACTCCCTCACCCTGACTGTGGAAGGTGAGTGACACTTTGTCCCCTCCTACATCTTCTCAGCATAGACTAACTCTAACAATTGTGTGAAAAATGGATCAATGTCACAGGGGCTAGGATATCAGTAAAGAGACAATTACAGTAACCAAAGGCAAGGGGTCCAAGAACCCAGGATCTGGAACAAACGTAGTCATAAGATATTCAATGTTTCATAGCCCAAGTCTGATATCCATAATGTAAAATTCAGAATTCTGAATTTCTCTGAGTCCCAAATACCTCAAGTGAATATTGTAACAAAAACAGCTGATTCATGACTATTTTACAGATTTAATATGATCATCAATTAAACTTATCAGAGTTATCAACACTCCACGCATAGAAAATGTTCCACAAATGTTTAAAACTCTAAACTCTCTCCCATCGAGTCAATGCTGACTTGTATTTACCCCTGTGAGTTCCCGAGCCGGTAACTATTTAGATGAATAGAAAGTTCAGTCTTTCTCCCGTGGAATTGCTGGTGGGTTTTAACTGACGACCATGCAAATCTGAGCCCAACTGTAGCCACTACACCACCAGCACTCAGCTCTTATTTCTGCTACCATTATCATGGCCTGAATGTAGGTAGCCTGAGAGTCCAATTCTAGATTTATCTTCTATCAGCTGTAAGATTTGGATAAGTTTTTCACTGCTCCAAGCCTCAGTTTTTCATTTGTTAAATGAGAATAATACCAGTGTGATAGGCCAATGGTATGAGTCAAATGACATATCTGTAAAGTACTTTGCACAGGAGCTAACACATAAAATATCCAATAAATACTAGCTAGAATTAACATCATTACAAACTATGGATAGCCTTGAGTAGAGTGGGAATTCCAGAGGACTTCATTGAACTCCTGCAGAACCTGTACACGGGTCAAAAAGCAGTTGTGGGAACAAAACAGGAATAGTGCATGGTTTAAAATCAAGAATAGTGTGCCTTAGGTTGTACCCTCCCAACATTCTTGCAAGATCTGCATGCCGAGCAAACATGAGAAAAGCTGGATTACGTGGAGAAGAATGCCACATCAGGATTGGAGAAAGACTTATTAACAGCCAACACGATGCAAATGGTACAGCCTTGCTTGATGAAAGTGAGGAGGACGTGAAGCACTTGCTGGCGAAGAACAAGGATTGCAAACTTCAGTTAGGATTAAAGCTCCTTGTAAAGAAGACCAAACTCCTCACAGTGGATCACTAGGTAACACCATGATAAATGGAGAAAAGACTGACATTGTTAAGGATTTCATCTTACTTGGATCCCAGTCAAGGCTCGTGGAAGCAGAGGTCGAGATAGGAAATGACACATTGCCTTGGGTCAATCTGCTGGTCAAGGCTTCTTCAAAGTGTTGAAAACAAGGAGGTTCCTTTGAGGACACACGTGTACCTGACCCAAGCCATGGTATTTTCCATTGCCTCGTGTGGGTGTGAAAGTGGGGCACTGAATATGGAGGACAGAAGAAGAATCAATGTTTTGGATGTAGGGGCTGGCAATGGATAGTGGAAGCACCATGGAGTGCCAAGAGAACCAACACAACTCTCTTAGAAGGAAGGACGGCCAGACCGAATGTCACCTGCTTTGGACATGTTGTGTGGAGAGACTAGGCCCTGGAGAAAAACCTCTGCTTGGTAAAGTAGAGGGGCAGCAGAAAGAGGAAGGCCCTCAAAAGTTGGATGACACGGTGGCTGCAACAATGGCTCAAACACAGGAGCAATTGTGGGGCTAGCGCAGGACCTGCAATGTTGGCTCTGTTGGGTTGCAATGAGTCAGCACCCACTTGTTGTCACCCACAATGACCATAAGTAATCCTCTGACAGCTCATGAGCTGATCACAGCAGACCACATCATGGGTGCATCATTACATAACTACCAATGAGATATCATTGTATTATTACATAATTATCAATGAGACACATGGATCATACTGACACATAATTTGGAGGGACGAAATTCAACCCCAGACACATTCTTCCTGCAACATTCAGGAAAGAACACTGATTTATCACTCCTCATAGTGCACACGGCTACTGACACAGATCCAACATATTTATCAAGGTAGACAGGAGGGAATGATAAGTCAATGAATGAACAATACAGAATCTTCAATGACTGAACCTTGCTTACAGATTCCCAAGACAGTCTGGAAGCCTGGCACCATAGCCATCCAGATGGCTGGGACCCACCCATGTTCCTTCCCTCTGACTCCTGCTCCTAAAGCTGCCCCAGAAGTTGGTCTCATGATGACCCTGGTGGGGCTCAACCAAGGGAGGGTTTCAGGAGTGTGCTGGTCCTGCTGCTGAGTCTCCTGGACACTTCCGACCGTGCACTCTCTGCGGATGTCACTAGAGCTCTGACTGCGCTCTGACACAGGCACTTGTGGCTCCATCTACTCTTTCTATGTCCTTCAGTTTCCATTAATCCAGTTACTGTCTCTATAAATTTACTCATCTTGGATTTCATATAAAGAAAAACATAAAAAAAAACAAGCAAAAACCCACTTACAGCAATACCAAAGGAAAACAGAGTAGAAACCTCAATCAAAAAGCAAGTAGAAAATACTAAACCTATAACAAATTTAAAATTGGGTCAAAAGAGAGATCAAATAATACGGTGTTGAGTTTTAGCCTAACTACATCTGCAATAATCCACTTTCCAACGATACTGTAACAGGTAGCAAGGCGACTGAAAACCCTGATCTAAGATCTACAAAGATTCTCCTGAGGTGTAATCTAAGTGTATAGAAGACCACATGACTTTCCATTTGAAAATACCCAGCGCCAGTCCATTATCACCAACGAATACCAAACTGAAACAACCACCACCACCGAAGCTCATTGGTATCAAGTCAATTCCAACCCATAGCAATAATACAGGACAGAGTACAACTTCCCCTGAGGGTTTCTGACACTGTCGCTGTTTACCACTGTTTCCCTCAGAGGGGTTGGTGCATTAAACACTCCACCTTGTGGCTGGAAGCCTAATGCATAACCCACTACCACACCAGAGCACCTTCCTAATTTTTATGCATCCTGTTTCACTTTTGACAACTTCAAATTTTTGTAATGCATGTTTCATATATCCCATATTATTATTATTAATGGATATTCTCAGCTGCTTCTTCTCATGTTAAATCATGCCATGTCTGCAAATGTAGGTCCTGAAAGCTTTACTCCATCCTCATCAGTAAGGTCCATTCTACTTTTGAGGAGGCAGCTCTGGCCCAGTCATATATTAATTATTTCTTGATTGTTTGTTTTGATGCCAGAGGAGAGGCAGTAAAGGAACCAACAGCCAGAGTGGGGGACTTCCAAGCTCACAGGGCAAATAAAAGTAAATGTTTCTTGGCAGGAGGCTGGCATAGGAGTGGGGTTCCTGCAGGCACTTAATTGGGTGTTGGGACCTGGGAGAGGACTACCTTGACTGAACCACAGGGCTTTAACAGAGTGCCTTTGGGATGAATCTTATGGTGGAGTGAAATGCCCTTTAGACATTTATTGGTAGCCATAACAGACCTCTGTAGCACTGCCTGAGTAGGGCAGAGGCCAGTGGGCAGTATAGCTGAGAGACCAAAGACCAGTGAGAAGCCTGCCTGAGTATAAGGCTGAGAAGAGGTTGTCCTGACTGAATAATTTTATCCTGAGCATTTGAACCTGATAACTTCCCTAATAAATCCTGTAACCCTGGGTACAGTTTGTGTGAATCCTGTGTAACCTTTGCAATGACTTATTGAACCTACATGAGAAGCGGGGAGTGCAGGGGAATGAATGGCTGGTATGAGGATTAATAAGGGAGGGTGAAGGGTTAGGGCACTGCTGTCAAGCCTTGTCAGGGTAGCCAGCCCGTAAGAAATCATGATAGGTCCAGTAGGTGAAATTGTACAGTGATAAGTAAAGATTATAGTAAAGTCATAGATAGAAGATAAGAGAGATAAGAGAGATAGAAGAGAGATTGAAATAAAGGAGTCAGACACATTTCCTGATAGCATGCTTACTTCAGCCCCAACTCAGTGGTCCACGTGAGGATGTGGAAAGTGGGAATTGCAGGAGCAAGCGAGCGAGTGGTTTATTACTAACCAAGGAGTACATAACTTTTGGGGGGCATGCAAGCCCCTAAATACAGAAGACATATGTCCCAGGAAGGGGTTGTGCTATAGATAATATAGTAATGGGAGGGGGACGATCTAGGGGCATACATGCAATAGGAAGGGGAAGGATTAGAGGTATACATGTGACAAGAAGGGTCAATCCTATATTCAGGGAGGCAGCCTAATTTTGGATGTCACTGCGCAGGTTTGTCCTGTTCTCTGGCTCTCCATTGAAACCATTATCAGTAGGGTGTGAACCCCACCTACAGTGGACCAGACTGATGGCTGAAAGCCTTCAGGGAGAAATAATCCATTGGCCTTAACAGTAGGGAGTGGGCTTCACCTGCGGTGGGACCAGACAGTAGTCTAAAGACTGAATGCATCTGACCTCCCACCATGTGCTGGCAAACAGCCTGTAATGTTTGGCATATCTTTGGGGGAGATAGTGCTGGGGAAAAGACTTTTTATATCCCACAAGTCCCCCTTTTGTTTTATATGTAAAATTCAAAAGAGTCACAGGGGGAAAATGGATATTTTCTATATATTGAAAGCTGTCAAGGCAAATTTAATGACCAAATTAATACAGCCAAAAATTCAGGCTTATGGCAAATATTTGGAATCCAGGCACAGGGGATAAAGTCCCCCTATGCCCATCTGCTATTGGAGGAAGGTATGAGAGGGATTAGATACCGCAGCGGGAAGAAATAGAGCAAATAGGAATGCCTGCTTCTATAGGGAGATATAATCAACCATTTGCTTACTTTAAGGCAGCACAGCTTTAAGGGGGAGAATCTGTGGAAATGATAGATTACCACAGAAAAGTGTACTTGGACTATATCTCCAACTACCAGAGTGGCAGCTTTCCTACCGTGGAACTCTGGCCTTCCAGATTCCATCCATACCAGT